TTTTGTTTGTTTGTTTTTTAGTATTTTTTATCTGCATACAGTTGATTAAACATGAATTTAGAATCTTAAATGTAGGCCACAGAATTTTTTAAGTTCTCAGTGAAAAAAAATTACTATTGCACTCAAACAATAAAGTCCATGCTTGTAATGAACTTTAATTTTGCATTATAGGTTTGGGGTTTATTTGGATAAACTGACTTCTAAAAGCTACTCAAAAATATTATACAGAGCACTCCAGGCATGGATATATAACTTTCTACATACAAATACATATTTTGTTAGTCTGAATTTGTATTTAGTGTTAGTAATTGGAAACTGTTTAGAAAAATCATACAGGCCACCAAGTGCAATTTAGCAATTGGACATTCAGAAGATATAAAATTAAATGCATGAACAATCATGGGTTTACTAGTCCTAACTCCAGAAATTATTTTTGAACTCTTAAATAAGATAGGGCTAATAAGTAGGGCTAATCTAGTTCATTTTCTAGTTAGAGAAATTAGGTAATGTTCAAAATCAACATAATCAGGCTCAACCTTGTTAGATTAGTTTTTAGCTACTATACATCTCTATCGCATTAATGCCAATCTGATACCTGAAAGGGAAAGAATTTACAAAAATTTAAAATGTCACCATGACATTATATCTATCCCACTGCTTGGTGATGGTGTTGCTTTGAGTCTAATTTGAATCTGGAAAACAACATTATAAAAAGAGTTTGTCAATAATAACCCAAACCTGATACCTTTACATACAAGGTACTGAAAACCACAAAAGTTAAAACAGTATGTTGGAAATACACATTTAACTGATAAACTTTTTGCAAATAATATTTCTATGAAGGCCAGCTGAACTACCAAAGCACAATCACTTTAATTCTGAGATGTCTGCCTGGCTCAGCAGTTTTATTACACAGATCAATTTTGCCTTACCTTCTTCTGGCTGTGAGTGCCTGCAAGTGCTCATAGAGGGAGGTCATAAAACATTTATAGGCCTAAGAATGTAATTGCAGGAAAGAGTGAATCCTCAATCTGTGGGCAGACATTTGAAAGAACTTAATCTGAGAAGTTTGTGGTAATCATCTGCCCCATTCCAGACTGTATCAAATTTTCATTTTAATTTTCTTTACAGAGTTTATATTTGATTAGCATTTGGCATTCTAAAATGAACTGTAAATGATAATTTATTGTAAATTACATACACTGAAAATAATATGCAATAATTTCCTTATTAATAATGTTCCCATAAGAGGTGGAAAAATAGACAAGGTTTCAGTTCTTCTTTAAGTGATAAAGCCAACAGTCAATTAAAGAACAAGGAATAGAAAGATCTGACTGACAAAAGAGTGTATAGTAGAACTGCAACGCAAGGATTGGTATATTTCAGATTAAATAGGAATGAAAAAATGGTTTATTTAGTTTATGTCACATTAAAAAGTTCATCTTGAGTGCTAAAGATACCCAACTTCTCCATCAACATTTTGCCATTACAATTAGAAAATCTTTTTAGTTAAACATGCTGTAGTCATTGATCTCCTAATTGAGTAGTCCATTTAAGGCCTTTGACCTCACAGCATGAACACTCAATCCTTTCTGAATATCTACAATATAATAATAGAACAAAGATTTCAAGTCCTGAAACATACAGCAATTCAGTAATAAGAAACACACAGAATTCTCAGACTCTTTTGTGTATGGTCATCTTATGTGAATTGCGGAATGGTTTACTGACATAAAAAAAGGAATAAACTTGGCCGGATAAAGAGGAGCATTCCTCCTGGCAATCATTAGTAATGGGTGTGACCTCTGTCACAAATCAGTGCTGAAATTATTCTATTAAGAATGAGAACCAAGGAGAAAATAAACCATGAAATAATTACACATAGCCTGTGTCTAACCATAATGACCTAGTAGGTGACAGGTACTGTCCACAACACACAATTCTGTTGGGAATAAACTATAAAATAAGGAAGGTAAAAAAGTCAATAGTGCTGACAAATTAAATCAGGAGAACATCAAATGCAATATATTTTTATTTGTGGCAGAGGACTGATATCCATATACATGAGAAAACTGGTTAGTCTGTCCTACTGAACCCATGCTTAGACCTCCTCTCCCACAAATGTTAAAAATTAATTCAAAAACTAGAAAAGTGATGGTTTTGAATATGATTATAATGAAATTACTAAGAAGCAGGCAAGTATTCTATGCATATATACATGTTCTTAGGCATATATACATATTTTTATACATATATACATAGGGATATTTTTAGAAGGCTTTGGTGCTCCAGAATCACACAGAAGTTGAACTTAGAAGGGACCTTTTGAGATCTTTTCATACACCTCATGCACATCTTTTCACATATCCAGTTGCAACTGAATTTCTTTCTTCATCAATACCTAAGCTGTTCTTTTCACTCCTCCTCATGCAAAGCGAACAGTACATTCCCATAATCAAGCGCACAGGAAAAGAATCAGCAATTTGCTGAGTTCAGTTAGAGTGACATTTATTAAGCTCTGAAAGTCTCATCTGAGTGTCAGTGAATGTCATATGCTGATTTTATAATATTTACTTCTTATATACTTCTAGTTTGAAATGACATTTATATGCCTTTCTATGAAACAGAAAACTGAAATCTAATATCCAAAACATCTCACTTTTTTTCCCCACAACTTACCAATAAAATTCAGGACCTTTAACCACAACTTGAGTTTGATCTTAGAAATTACAAATGAAACCTTGAATATCTATGCGGGGCAGGTAGTAGAAATATATGCACATGCATAAATGTAGGAAACACATAAAACTTCTCTCTTATCAATAACAGGGATTTTTGTTTTCTTTCAAATCTGGAAGTCATTAAGTCTTATCTGCATAATGGGGATAAAAGCTACTTGACAGGGTGCTCAATAACAGATTCCTTTTTTGATCCCTGGTGATGCAAATAAGAGCTACATACCTTTCTTCCTCTGTCACCTTGTCATGGTTTGACACTGGCACAATGCCAGTGCCCCCATGAAAATGCAATCTCTTAATTGAATGCTGTGAAATGCAATTGAGAACAGAGCAAAGCAGGCCCAAGCTTAATAACAAGGAAAAAACTTTATTAAGCTACTACTACTATACTACTATAAAAGGAAAAAGAAAGAAAAAATAACACACAAAAATCAAAATTAAAACCTTCCAAAGCATTCCTCCTCCCACCACCCAACTCCAACAAACCACAGTGAGACACAACCTGGACCCCAATCAGGTTTCCACCCTTCAGACAATTGAATTTCAGTCCATCGAGGGAGAGAGGAGTCCCTCCTGTGCCACAGACCCCCCAAGAAATGCAGCTGCCACATCCTGTGCTTCCATGTCACACATGGCACCGCCCGGAGAAAAAAGTTTGCCAATGGTGACCCTCTCCTTTCCATGCACAGTGCTCTCACCACTAATTCATGGATGGACAGACTGCTTTTAGGATTTTTCCTTTCAAGAATGCCCTGCCAAGAGGGGAAAAACAACAGTTCAGTTTTTCATTTTTGGGACCACAGTCCCCCCCATTTTCCCCTGGGGCCGAGGATCCAAGAACAGAGATCTTCTTCTCTTCTTCTTCTCTGAAGACAGGGGGCACCACCAAAAACCTCCCTAATTTTAATCTGTTCACTCCACTTCTGTCTCTTTGGCTCTTCAGGTCTCTTTGGCTCACTGGCATCCTCCTAAAATACAGTCTCTCTTGGAGGAGAAGATCAGTTCAGTCTGTGGCTACCAAGAAAAAGTCCAGCCACAAGCCACTCCATCATCTCCTCCCACCTAGAATTTCTCCTTCCAACATCCCAGGTCCCAGGCTGTCTCTCTTCCTCTCTTTCAAACCGAGGAGGAGAAAATTTCACAAAACTTTCATTTCTCAAGGAAGGGTTAAAAGTCCCAACTCCCAAAGATGGCTCGCTGCAACTCCCACAGACAGATGGGCACCTTGTGTTCTCCCCCGCTCTTCTCCTTCCCTGCAGTGAACTGCTGAGAAAACTTCTGCTGTCTCTTGAGAGAGAGAGACAGAGAGAGACTCTGGGGGGGGAACTGAGACATCTCAGATTTTCTCCACCCTTCCATCTGCAGGTGGGTTCCAGTTCCCTCCACCCTTCGGCCTACCTCAGTCAGGCCATGGGCCTTCCCCTCCCCCACCCAGCCACGGGCCAGGCAGGGGAGAGGCTGCACTGCACGCTGACCGGAACCAAAAAGAGCGAGTTCTCCTGGGAATTCTGCTTTTAACCCCTCTGTGTTTTAACCCCTCTGTGTTCTCAGAGGCGTGTCCACCTTCAATTGGTCATTATCCAAATTGACCTCTTCCTTCCGAGAAAAATTCTTTTTCTGTGTCAAACCACAACACACCTCCAGCCTTCTTCATAAGTTACCATATCTAGCTCAGCTCCTTACCTCTCATCCCAATCTGCTTCTCTCTTTTGCTCAATGGTACATTGTACTTATAGTCTTTCCTTGCTGCCAAACTTTTAATTTCAGTACCTGGTCTTGCTAAGCTCTTTCCAAGGATTCATATGTTATTTGCCTTTCTGGAGTCTGTTATCTCCTATGGCAGTAAAACAAACATAACACTAAAAGCAAAAGTTTTCCTCAACCCTTTTCAATCCCAAGATTAAATATTTACCAAACAACCCATCTTCCACATCACAAAATTAAATGCTACATTCTAATATTAAAGTCTTCGTGAATCACACGAAAACTGTGGATTTGGTTTTTTTTGGGCTGGTTGGTTGGTTGGTTTGTTGGTTGGTTGTTTGGTCTGAACAAACACATCATCTAAACTAAATATCCACAAAATTATACAAATCTTAAAATGGGTAGTTCAAAAGTTAAGTCTGATATTTGAGGCAATGTGGTTATCTGAATCTCCTTTACAATATTGGGTAGTGAATGACAGATCATCATTTTCAGCAAGGAGAGAGATACACTCAACAAAAGCCTAACGCGTCTCCTCTGTCTCTCCGACAGGGTCGGGGACTTCGGGAACGCGACGGTGGTCATAAAGAGAGGAGTCTTCCACCGGGCGAGAGTCTCTCAAGCGGCTTTATTCTGAGGGCTTAGGTGAGGGAAGGCGAGGGTAGTGAAGGGACACAGCCACTCAGAGGGCGAGCCAGCTCTGAGAACCCCGAACCAGGGGCGGGGCAGGGTTTATAACAGTTGCAGGGAAGGAGGGTCAGGGTACAGAGCATCCAACCGGGTGAGGGTATGAGGGTGGAGTCAAGCAGGAGCGACACGGCAACGGCCAACTGGGATAGGGGGTAGGAGTGGTTCCAGGGGAAGAACCAATGGCGGTACAAAGAACTGAGAACTTTCTAGAACAAAGGGAAGGAGTACAAAGTGATTGACATGAACTGGGGGAAGGGAGAACAGATAACAGACAACTCAGGAGGTGGGAAAACTACACATCTGTGGCCTCCCATGGCAAGGCAGGGAGGTCACCAACCACACCCCCTCCCACAAAAGCCTAGGAGTTAACTTTGACAACTTTTTAAAGTTTCTTTTTTTATTTTTTTTTTTTCCTGATGAGGTCAAAAAGGTATGGGTGGGGAATAATACAGTATATTTGCATAAAAATGTGGAAGAAATAAATGAGTGCAGTTTTCACATTTCTACATTCTGATCCTGAACACCAGATTCTACAACAAAAAATGCATTTATTCCTTTAGCATTAGTAATGGTACTGTCTGCAAGTGCTGATGTTTGTCCATCACAGCACATCATTCAGATTCTGTTTGTCTGTTAAACTGCAGTTAATGTGAAGCATTCAAGATAATAATTCATTTCTACAACCAACACCAAGGGATTGTTCCACATCCAAGTGCATCCCCCACTTCTCTTCACTGAGAAGTGTAGGCAGGGTTTTTTGATCCCGCCAGATTATTTCCACACTTCGTCAAAAATTAGACCACGGACGCAAGACAATGTCTCTTTATAACTAACAGAACAAGAACATCATATTTCAGTGCTCTGAGATGAGTCATGAAGTTCCTGTAACTATGAGAACCAGGGCAGAATATTTCAAAAAAAGCTCTACAAAATCCAGAGGTGTAACAATTTTATTTCCAGACAGTTTTGTTCCAAGAAAATAATGAATGATAATTTAGAGCACTATTTTTGGGATTACTTTGGGCAAGGCAAGTCTTATGCTATTATTTCTTAATTCTTGGTGCCAGTTATGATATTCCAGCAAAGATGGAGTATTCTATATTTGTAGCCTTCGACACAGGAAGCATCTTACATGGGACTAAGATAGAAGAAATATGCACAGGTCTAGGAATAGAAATCAATTTTTAAACATTTTCATTTCTGAGATGAACTTCCAAAGAACCATGGCAACTTCACAGGTATTGTCTGTTTATTGATCTGACTTATGCAGGCATATTAGCATTAATACTACTGTAATTCACACAAGAAAGATGTGTCATGCCACCATGGAATTTCACATGATAATGGACAAATAACATTTGGCTCTGAATTACAATTGCATACCCACAGTCTTTGGTAATACAGTGGGGAAAGAAAGGTAGAAAGGATGAGTGATGACTCATGAAGCTACTGTTTCAATAATTGGAACAAGCTGATAGGAGGAGTATTTTGATAGGGGAGGAGTCATGAAGATGTGGTGGAGGAACAGAAGTATCTTTCCACAGAATTCAACCTTTTATCTTTGCTAAACAAAGCTGAATTAACCCAGTCTTGCTCCCTTTAGAAATTACCAGAGAACCTCAAGTCAAATATGATGTTTTCTGGGGAGAAGGAAAAGACATTGAAGAAATATTTTATAAGCAGCAGCAATGAATTGGTAAATAAGTTGAAACTTCTTTTTCATAGCTTACACTGTATTTTAATTTGCTCATAATTACTGCAGAATGAAAATATAATTCCACGTGATTTTTATGAAAAATATTACATATTTTTCATTAAAAATATATTATATATATTTATGTATATAATATAATGTTTATTATATTACAAAATACATTATATTTTCCCTTCCTTTGTTTTATTAATATTTTAATTTTAATATTTCTGAAAAACTCTTATCTGAATTTATCTCCATTTTGCCTTGTAGGCTCATGTTTATTTTATAGAAGGATTTCTGTTAGTTTTCATCATTTTGAGGTTTTTTTCAACCAAAAAGCATGATAATAATGCAATACCTAGCATCTAACAGCTGTATTAAGAGCTGACTCAAAGAAGCAATAAACTCTGTGTCTGTACATTTGCTTGTAAAGGAATCAGCAAAGGGGAATGTATTTAAGATTAAGCGTGAGGCAGATACTCTATGCAGGAATAATAAAAAGTTGTATGTTTGCAGGCTGTCAGTACATGTTCCAGTGAGAGACTGGGTTTTCTCCATGTCGCTGACTTTGACCCCAACTTGTCGCCAAATTCAAAGGTGAAAATGTTGTCAGCAGATGTAGTGTAGATTCACCTGGGCAGCAACACTGGATCTGTTGGGAAAGGGAAGGAAGAAATATTAAAAAACTCAATATGTCATCTAGGTTTTTTATTAAATCTCTCATTTACAACACCAATGTGTATTTTCTCCAGATTTGTAGAATCATACACTCATAAAAACACTAAGGCTGGAAAAGATCGAGTCCAAACATTAACCCAGCACCTCCATGGTCACCACAACATCACATCCCCAAATGTCACATCCACATTACTTTTGAACACTTCCAGAGATGTGATTTCACCACTTACCCAAGCAATTTATTGCAATGCTTGACCACTCTTTCAGTGCAGAAATAATTTCCAATACCTAATCTACGTCTTTCCTAGTACAACTTGAGGGCATTTTCCCTGTAGGGAATGCTGGGCTCCTGGACGGCTTTGATGAATGGAGACGAGGGATCTCTGAAGGCTGTTCTTAGAATATAAAGTTTATTAGGGATGATGAAAGGTCTTGCTTGGAGCTGCCAGATGCAGCATGTGGCAAGGCCTGAGGGGATGGGGGAGGGGAGAGACAAGGGGTAGAGAGGATGCTCTAGGAGAGGGTGAAAGCTCTAAGTGGGGGGAAGTTGCAAGAGAGCGGGGATTCCAAGAGAGGGGGGTTCCAAGAGTGTGTCTGGCCCCTCGGAGACCCCTTATCAGGGGGCTTCAAGGTGGGCTGGAACAAGACTTGGGCCAATGGGGTCACAGACACTTGATGCTTCAGGGGAGGGTTACAGATGTGGGATGAACCATACATTTTGGGGGGTTAAGATGGAACAGTCCATTTGACTTTTGGATCTATCTTTAGGTAAGGATATTGTCCAGCCAGTAGGGGGAGTTGTTTTCATCCTGGCTATACTATTGTAAATCTTTTGCCAGGCCATCATATTTATTCATCCTTCCCAACATTCCCTTGCTCTGTCTCCTTTCAGGTAGGCGTAGGGAATGACAAGGTGTCTCCTGAGACTTTTTTCCAGGCTTAACAACCCCAGCTTCTGTGGCAGTTACGGGCCACGGCCCTCAGCAGGTAGAAGGGTCCAGCTAGCACAACCTGCGTGAGGCTGCATGGCCGCCACGTGGGTGGGCACCTCAGGGGAGAATTGTCTGCCCCAATGGTGCTGAGTGCTGCTCCTGGGTGCACAGCTTCGATAACTCTGCATGCTGAGAGGAGGTAAGGAGATGAGAGAAGGACACTTGTGTGCCAGCCCAAAGAATCCTTTATTTACTCTGAGTGGGTGCAGTGACAAATGCTGAATAAATCAATGATTACAGCAACTTAAATAGGGGGTGGGCGGACAGTGGTGTAAACCTGTCTTGCCCAATAGGGATAAACCAGAGAGGGACACAGCAACCTATGATAATGTAACAGGGGTAGGTACAAGGTCAGGGGACAAATAGAAAAGCTAAGCTGGAGTGACTGATACAAAACTTTCTGGAAGAAATTGAGGGTAGTTGCAGGATTGACAGCCGAAGGGGTATGAACAAACTCGGCTTGATGAAACCAAATAAGAAGAAAACAGGGAGAGGTGAGACAATTGACATATAACTGGGAAGCCAAGTGGCAGGAACTTTTGGGGTAAGGGGACACATGGGGGAGCATAAGGCTAACTAACATTGATGAAACCAACTGACTAAATCAACCCACACCGCAACAAGTTTCCCTAACTGGTCCTCAACACACTTGTGTTCCAGACCCTTCACCAGCTCTTTTGCCCTTCTCTGAACATGCTCCAGCACCTCAATATTGCCTTGCAATGAGAGGGTGTCCTAGTTTAGGGCAAATTTGGGGAAAACCCTCTGGAAGGAGCCCCCAGAAAACAAACCCCCACAGCCCCTCCCCACCCACCTGGTTGGGGAAAAAATTTTCTCTGAGAGAAGTGGAAAAGAACCCGTTTATTCAACGAACAAAGCACCCCCCAGCACCAAAAAAATTAACAACACCAGATGACAACAAAACTCTTTCACCACTCTGAAGAGATGAACAAATCCAGAAAGTCTTTCCTGGGAGTGGTCGCCCGGGTCTGGACGCTGGGGATTGCTCTCTAGCACTGGGGATGGCTGCTGCAGATCACAAAATGCAGGATTCCAGTGTTCCTTGGTGTTTCCCAGATCCCACTCCAGAGAAGGTTGGATGGTATTCAGGAAGAGGAAAAGAAAAGGAACAGTCCAGGGAAAGAATTGGACTGCTTAGCTAAACTAACTAGGAAGCAAAGGCAAAAGCAGAAGCAAGCAAAGCAAGCAAGCAAAGCAAAAGCAAGCCAGCCAGCACTAGCCTTTTCTAGACAGCAGACCATGCGGGGAGGTGAACCGGCTGATCATAAGGCAAAACAAACCTTCACTTTCAGAGTCAGTTCTGAAAGCACAGAACATAATATCTAACATAAACAGAACACATGATTGGAGATACATACACCATAATGTCACCCTAGGACAGAGGGGCAGAACTGAATACAGAAATCAAGACATAACCTCACCAATACTGACCACATCATTTCTGAAAGAGGCCAGGATACCATTGGCCTTCTTGGCCACATGGTAGCCATCACACCTAAAGAAAAGGCAAGTGATTTTGTCTTCCTTTTCATCTTCTGAAAATATTTGATACCATTGTGTGATTATTTAAAAAAAAAAAAAAAATAAATAAATAAAACAAGCCCTGAAGATGGTCCATATCCTAAAGTCATATGAAAGTATAATCCACTCTCCAGAAATAAAATATGTCCCTAGAAACCACATTTTAAAGTCCAAAATATACAGTCCTTCTTTTAATCTTAATTGAATTTTCAGATTCCAGTATTCATATTTTTTTTTTACTTATTTCAGATTTATTTCAGATTTGAAATAAAATCTTACTTTTGTCTCTTTTATGTTTTTCCTTGCAAGTCTTTAATTTCTATCCTTTTTATTTTCTAGTTCCCCAGCACATAAGTAGCAATCTGTGGTACTAGTATATGCCATACAAGTACCAAAAACTTTATCATTTTAAAATTATTTTGGTCCAAATCTGGTACTTTTTTCCTGTCAGACAGTCTTGTCTGACAAAATTTTAAAAATGTAATCAGTACAATCACATTCCAGAATTTGGAACTTCAGCTATGGAGATTTGCTTCAATGTTTCTGTTCTGTCATCTTATTTTTTCCTAGACTGGCAAGTCTTCACCTCTGTCTTTCATTTTTCTTCATGTATCAGCTTTCTAGGTTAATGTTGTACTCTAGTTTACACATTATTTTCCTTAAATAAGATGACCCAAACCCACCTGTTACGGTGAGCTCCTGGACACCCTTTTGTCCCCCCTTTCCTAGGGCCTCTGTGGCTCTGATCATGATAACCCCTGGATCCTCCTTCCTGCCCCAATGGGGTTGGCAGGGAGCCAGGAGTGCCCACCCTGTCCAAAACCTATATAGACCCCTGAAACTTCCTGCTCTTTCTCTTTTGCCCCGCTCTCCATGGACACCACAGAATAAAGAGAGCTGTTCCAACACCCTGGGGTAAGGAGCCTCTTCTGTATACCTTTCCCTCTCCCTGCTATTTCCTCCCCTCACAGCCCCATATCTCTGAGCTAGTCGGATTCATTCGGGGGGCTGCGTGGAGGGGGGGAAAGCCAATAGAAATAACAGTTGGCGCCCCAACGTGTGCTGCTCTGAGCCCACGAAGAAGCTGGACCCCCTATTAAGGTGGAAGTCGAAAGCTTTTGGGACAGCCAACTGCCCTGGTACTCTAGCTGCCTTTAAAAGCTTTGAGTCACCGGGCACAGTCGGGGACCTCTGCCTGCGTACCCCGGGAAGAGCCGACTGGAGAGGGAACCCCCAGAGAGGGTTTCACAGACGAATCCCGCAGTCACAGGCTTGGTAAATTCTCCAACGCGGCACCCGGGACCGCGCCTGGCTGGGAGGGGTTACCATAAGTGACTGGGGGGTGCTGCTTGCGGGACGGTGAGCCAGGACCCTACTGCGAGTAAGCGGGAACCGGTGGGCTGCGCATACCCACGTTCCAGGGGGGAACAGACACGGGAGGAGCGGGCTAAAGCCGCCCCGGCAGCGGCGGGACGAGCGCCCCTCCCCCTGTGCCCCCCCCGCTCGGGTTTTCCACGGCGGGAAATTCGAATCATTCGTGCTGTGTTATTAGCTCTGGTGGAGACTAGACCAGTGAAACAATTAAAAATCATGGGTACTAACATTTCACTGCAGCAGAAGAGTATACTAACACATCTTAGCAATAACTTAAACAATGTATCATTCCCTAAAAAGCTCCTCCTGCGTTTTGTGTGCTGGCTACAGACAGAAATACCAAATTTTACTGTGCAAGACCTGAATTCGCTTGCTTTTTGGAATCAGATTGGACAGATATTAACTTTAAAAGTCGAAAATGGTGAACATAAAGTTTCTCGATTTATTCCGATATTTTTACAAGCACGGAAAAATATTTTAGAAGCAGAAAAAAACATGCAAACGCAGATCCACAGTTCTAACACCCCCTTTTCCCCTTCCTACCCACCTCCTCAATACCCCAGCCCTGAAAACCCCTCACCCACCCCTTATCTCCCTATAACACCTTGTTTTTCGGAGAGATACAGCCCGGAGTTTATCTTAAAGAGCTCCGCGGCATCTCTGGAACACACGCGGCCAGATCATGGCGGTGGCCATGCGGTTTCACCGGCGCCGGCCGCTCCACCCCCCACTCCCCCTCCCACTCGCATTCCTTTGCTTCCCCCGCCCTCCGCCACCCCCTCCGCCCCCACCCCCTCCTCCCTCCCCTCCTCCGACACCTGCTTATCTCCCATAGCAACTCCTTATCAGTGCCAGCCCCCGGGTTGCCCCGGGAACAGGGGCGGGGCCGGCCCCTGCTCTCCTCCGAGCCCAGCGGCTCACAGCAGGGCGGGGACACGGGACGGCAGCCGAGCGGCTCAGAGCCGGGGCGGGGCCCGAGTCTCCACCGCGGAGCAGACAGCCCGAGAGGGGGGGGGCGAGCTGCCCCTCACCGGGGTGGGGGGTGCGCGGGACGAACATAAGCCTGACTTTATCGAGGACTCAATACCATCTATAACTCCAGTGGTTTATTTAGGGAGAAGAAACGGTACAAAAACATACCAACCT